GATTTGAAGAAAGTACGGAAAGTGCGGAATCTGCAGAAAGTGCGGAAAGTCAAATCGATACATATCTATTGCTTTTCTTCACATTCGGCATTTCTGCAGATTCCGCACTTTCGGCACTTCTTCACTTTCTTCATGGTCGCAAGCTATGAACGCGGCCTAAGCCAGCTACCTAAGGTTCTTTCTTGTGACTCAGAGGAAAGCGCTGACTATCACAGCTATTCCGAAATTGGAACGAAACGACACAAAAATGGTGATCGCAGCAAAAACCATGCTTTTGGGGCTTCTCCCAAATAAGGATGTTGCAGCGTGCTTCTCTTACGCGCACTGTTCACATATTCACCATATTTTTCCCCCGACTGAAGCCGGGAACCGCTCCTGAACTATTCCGAACGACAATATTCCCACGAGAGGGCGCAGACACACACAGCCACTCACCCCCACACCCACCCAAATTGTCGTCGAAGTCGCTGCCTACCGTTACTTTGGAAGAGACTATCGGTGCAGTGAAGAAGGAAGAGCAGAGACATAAAATAAAACTGAGAAACTAGACGATGTTGCTTCAAAATTCCACAGAAGGAAACGCCTCAAGCAACATCCTACAAGCATACGGTATCACAGCATTCAAGCAAGGACCTCTTATCCGTCTTCAAAAGTGACCCTTTAGGGTCGCGTTCACAAAACGGAAGAACTGCGGAGTCAGCGAACTGCGGCACTAGAACAATCGGAGAAACTGCGTGACTGGAAACCCGAGGATCATTTGATCGGAGGTGGGAGGGGACCAGAGAGTGCGCGCGGAAGATACCTGTTTATAGGGAAAATCACCGATCCTGTGATCCTTCAGTTCTCAATGCGTTACTCTTTCGCGGGGATATGTGGCGAGAGAATTGTAAGGCTGCGTTTATACTTTGCTGCAGGGTAGCGTAACGCTCCCAGCGTATGTCGGCGGCAGTGTCGGGCAAAGGATGGTTATCGATCTAGCGTTCTAGGCGTGTCACCAGCGTACGCTAGCGTTACGCCAGCGCACGCTAACGTAGCGAGGGCACGGGAGACATAGCTATCGATCTAGCGCTCTCAGCGTTTCGCTAGCGTTTGCAGCGGAGGGGGCAAGAGGAGGATATGAAGGAGGGGTAGAGAGTACAAAAGCTCTCCTACTTGTAGTATACTCTCTGAGCCCGCCGCTGGCAAACCGCTGAGCGAAAGACGGCTAGTGAGACTGGCTCGTGAAACGCCGGAAGCGCTACGCTACGGACGTGCAGCAAAGTATAGTGAACGCAGTCCTAAAGGGAGGTTGAGGCGTGGCGGGCAGTATGAATGTGTCATCCCGTCAGAGCCGTTCTCTGCCTTCTTCTTGAAACGCGCATGCGACAACCAATGGTAGAAAACGAGTAATACGAACGATAAGATACAGTCATATCACTTTTGCTCGTTTAAATAGACAGCGCCCGCGATGGACTTTGGCAGGTCTCAGGGGTCAAATTTGTTAGAACAGGTGGCCAATGAAGCACTAATCAAAAAAGTAGGAAAAGGTGTGGAAGAGCGTGAAATAAGACCCTACGAAATTTAAGGCATGTGGACGAGTTTCGCAGACCTTTGGTGAGTTCTCCAATACACGTCGCCGCTCGGAACTCCAGAAACTTAGCGTTTATCAATGCCAGCAAGCACTGATAACTGTTAACCAGTCGGGGCGGGATTAACAGGGAAGGAGGCGTCAGCTCAGCCTTGTTGACTCCGCCCTCGTCAACCAATCGATTTCGAGCCGCAAGAGTGGGATTTCCGCTGTGGTTGCGGTACTCCCGGCGTTCGTTTCATTGAGGGTTTTCATTTGAGTTGATCAGCGGACGGCCTTGCCATTTAACAGCTGGTGGAGAAGGGTTTGGCACCGCGCAGATATCTGCTGACCCCCCGCCCAATGAGTCAGCACGTAACTTAACTAGCTATATAAACAAGAAAGACATGAGTGCTCCACATGAATCCTTCGCATACAATGAGAACCGGGTCCTAACGTGGTTGGGAGGGGCCGATTGCCGGGTTAATGACCTCATCGGTCTAAAGATCATCGATATACTGTGAAGGGCGGCCCCCACCCCCTCCCGAATATAGCAGACAAAAAGAATAAAACAAAAAGCTACCGGAAATTGCTGAAGGAATTCCACGAAGCTAAAATTTGAGTTTGTTAAAGTCAAACAATACAGTCAACGGACCCATGGCAACAAATGTTGTAGTTTAGGCGATCTATGACAGACTAACTGCTTCTTTGCTTTTTCCAGTGTTAACTGTTTTAACTTTTGAATATAGCTAGGGCGAAGTTATGTTCATGTCCTAAACACGAAATTACTTCTACACTCGAGATCCCTGAGATCGGGTAGGCGTGGCCGCATGTCTATAACTTGTCCTTACCGAAAAGGCAGTCTACGCTTCTGAATGCGGATATTTTCACCTCGCCATCGTTGTCGTGATGATAATAACAAAAAGAACAAAAATGACAGTTCCCAGACTGGAATATTCACTAGTAACCAGTTCTTTACAGTGTTCGAGTGCTCCGCCTACCCGATCTCAGGGATTTCGAGTATATTTTGCCGAGGAGAGAGCAGAAGAGCAGATGAGTCATAAAAAAGGCTCGATACAGAGAAAAAGAAAAAATACTCCAGTGTCATAAACAAAAAATAGATAATAAAAAAAAAAAAGAAAGCAAGAAAATCAGATGCCTCAATAGAGTTAATGATAAATCAAAAGGTGAAATTCAAATGAACATTGCCAGAAAAGAAAAAAAAACAAAAGCGCGGAAAAGACAGAAGGGACAGTTTACGTAATATCAACTTGATCGGTCCTGTTTCGCGGAAGTCATTTTAGCGTTTAATCAACCTATATAATATAAAAAAAAAAGAAAAAAAATAAAACATAAGAAAGAATAAAAGAAAAAAAATAAAATTTATTTCGATTTTTTTCGAGTGTAATGCACGAAGATATAGAGGTTGTGCGAAGCAATAGAGAACCAAGGGAAATAAGCTTAGTTCAGGCAGATCCAGGCAAGTAAAAGTAGAGAGTACAAGGATGGATGACAAGCATCAGAGTCAAAAAGCACTGGGATTCTATTAAAGGTGCTCATAAACCGGATAATCTTCGACCACAATTAGAAGTCCAGAAAAAATCCTCACCCGAATTTCGATTGTAGAGTCGATAGGAGTTATGGAGTACTGTTTCAGTATGATGGAAAACAATAATATCACCATAATAATAAATAATCCCCGTGAACATAGTAGATCATTAGCAGGAAAAAAAACGCGACGTAGGAAATACACAAAAGGAAAAAAACACTGACAGAGGCCGTAAGAGTTGAGATTGACTTAGGGAAAAAATAGAATAAATAAAAAGAAATAAAGAAGATATCATATAGACAAATGAAAATAAAAAAAAATATAATATACTACATAATCTTGCTTTTGAACATGTGGTTTTGAAGGTGGATGTGAGTGTTATGAAAAAAATCTAAATGGGTACCATGCTTGTAGCCAGAATAGAATTGGATTCACCAGCGACCAGCTGGCTTAACACGAAATTAAGCCGATGCGAGATGGTGTTGTCGCACCTCCCACGTGGCCGCATAGTGAGTCCAATGAGCTCTTCAATCAGGCTGAGCTAGCCTAGGTCGGTCGCTGGCCAGGCGCCCACGTACTGCAGGGCGCACGGTCAAGTTAGGGAAGACCCTTGGACGAGGTATCCCATTGTGTTACCGTGTTATCTCAAAAATAGAAGTTCCGGATACTTTGGCTCGTTCTGCTATCTTTATGTTCGGTAACTTAGATGATGCGTTTAAAAAATTGCTTGCGAATGAATTAGGTCCTGAAAAGATCCGATATTTGTTTAGAAGCACCGGAGGACGGGTCAACACTTCATATAGCATCCTGCATTCTCGCTCTTCTCGCCGCCCTCAGAACATAACACAAATAATTCAGGTATATGCTTTCTTCATATAAAAAGTGATACAGCTGCTTGACTCTTGAAATTTTAAACAGCATATTCTACGGAATTTCTACAGTTTACGGTCATTCAGGCTATCTTCATGGGGATTGTCACTTGATCGGGGTTTGGCGGCATGTCAGCCAGGGGGAGTGACATTTAAGAAACTTTTTGTGCAAAGCTGGGAGTATCCGAAGTGTAGGATAAGGAAGTTGGTCACTTACCCTGGAGCTCGTTTACTCTTGGGCTCAAGCAAAAATTCCCATTTTCACTACGGCAACCCCAGTTTTGCATAAGGAGCCCTTTAAATATCCTCATGCTCACAGGAGATTCGTTCGTGCTGAGCACATACAAGAAAGAGAATCTCAAGCGAAACGCGGGAAATAAAGACTGGAGTGCGGTCCTGAATGGAAAGCAACCAGTAGGAATTGAATGCTTCGGAGAATAATAATTGCTAAAGGGCAAAAGAGGATTTTGTACTCGAGAGCTATGGGAGGTGTCTGTAATAAGTGCTAGGGCTGTATTAGAAGTGATATCCAAGTGATAAAACTCGACAAACGAGGCAAATCTAAGACCTGTTGGCGTGCTCCAACGCAAGCAGACGCTATTACCCTCATTCAATACGCGGCGCCTTCAAGTTCTATTTATTTGTATAAGCATGGAATTTTGCCTCAAATCGATAATAAGAGGAGGAAAAAACTTCATCACTAAGAGCTTCGAATAACTACAAAGCGCATCAATTATACAGAATCTCGTTGTGGAGTGATTTCCTTGAGATGATTTTAAAATCATTGGAGAATTGTGTGAATGTTTTGTGGGTGCCGGCTCTTTATGTATCGATCTTTCCATACCGCGTTGCGTGTCTCACACTCACCCACCAAGTTGTTTTGTTCTATTTCTGATAAATTTCGTCTAAAACTTGTTACAGATGCCTCTATTGAATAAGAAACCTATTGAAAGATGTGAATTACCGGCTAATGCAAAGCTCACAGATAAAGTGTTCTTTCTAGAAGCAAGCAATGAGATATTTCTCACATATGAGTAAGTTTGTAATCATATTTGTAATTTTACTTCATTCCACATTAGACTTGAGAACGTTTCCTATTTGATCTACACACTGATGGTAGATGTTTCAGTGAATTTTTCGAGCGGATGATTCAGCTCAACTCCACATTATTTTCATGTGAATTTACGGGCAAAACAGGTCTGACGTTTTTCGAGGCGCTAGAATCGGAGAAACAAGCTATGGTATGCTTTTTCTATACCTCATATATCAGATGGTCCACAAGGACCTTACGGCTTTCGATCGGGGTAGTTTTCAGAGTCACAGAAAAATTCCTTAGAGTATAACTTCTATTTTACTGCTATTACCATAACTCTCAATAACACTAATGTTTTTGCTCCCATATACACTCCTTATCTAAAAGATGGAAGGGGCGTGGCTGCGTCCGCTGGATGAGTTTCTCGGGGGTTTTTCCATTTGGGACTACTGTTATTGTAAGGTGTACTTGACATAAACTTGACTGAAGCTGTTCTAACACGGAAATATTCCATCGGAAGCACTGCATCCAACACGTTTGTATGAAATGAGCAGCTACGCCCATTCTCCTACTTCCTGGGACATTAGATTTCGCGATTTCCTAGGAAATACGTGCCACAGGATATTATTATTATTATTATTATTATTATTATTATTATTATTTATTATTATTATTATTATTATTATTATTATTATTATTATTATTATTATTATTATTATTATTATTATTATTATTATTAGTTATTAGTTATTATGTATATTATGTCACTGGCCAAGGATGGGCTTCTGAAGGAGAAGGGACTCCGGTATGGATGAGCCAATTACTATACTTAAAAAGCTGGAAAGCGCGGTCCCACAATGGTTATAGAACGCTATGCAGACGAGAGGGAGCAGAGAAGAACAGAAAGTTGTAGCGATTTAAAAAGGAATGCAGTTGGTCTGTGGACCCAATTTACTAACAGGATGCTTCTCAGACTCAGAAGCGTGCTTGGACTAGAAGAGAAGTGAAACACTCTCCTCTGGGAGAGTGTTGTTGCATTCTCACAGAGTGTTAAAAGAGTGGGAGAGTACAGCTGGGAGACTTTACAAAACTTGTAGATGGCATCCCTTTTCGGGACGACCAAACCCGCAAAAAGGGTTATACATTGCACAGGATTCAAATTTATGTCGCATACCCCTCCCCCCCCCTTTTTTTCCGGTTACAGGGCCTCTGTCAATCAAAAGTTCTCTCGCTGAGACGGTCCTGAGGGATCTATTCGTCTCATCTTCTGACCGCATTTGAAGGGAGTAAAATAAGGAACAGGAAAGAGGAAAAAGGAAGGATGAAGAGAAGAGGACGGCTTCGCGGTAGACAGATATCCTGAGATACCAAGGTGAAGGTGGTCCTACCGAGGAGAGTGTTACAGCGCTTCTATCAACCGGACAAGCTCTCGCTGCGGGCGTCCAGCGGCATTTTCTCACTGTTTCGTCCCACTACTTTTGTATTGCGTAGGAACTTTCCAGTATGCACGATAACCGCCATCTACAATTCAAAAGAAGAGATAATTCAAGCTTGGCTATTTTTTCAGAGAGCGCTTGGAAATTTTCCGCCTCAATTGGAGCAGTCAGTCCTCTATCTTGTCAGAAAACACTTATGTCGAGGCCGGTTCGAGGATCTCTTGAATGATGTGTCCTTGTTCATGAAAGTTGGTTTTGAGACACATTAAAGTCGTTAAACTGGAAAAATCCAGGGAAGGTGTTTTATAATGGACTCGTTTTAGGACCGATATTTTGTTGGTGAAGAATGCTCATACATCGACGGTAACCTGAGGATACCTGTGAGAATTACCGGAGTTACCGTTGTGAAAGATTGGCAGCCCCAAAATATGTACGTGGGAGCGGACACTCTTACAGGGGGGGGGGCAAAAAAAAGTCACTTCGACCGAGTCACATATCAGCAAAGTTTTCGCAGCCCAGACAGAGGACGTGGATACGAGTACCAGGGCGGAAGATACCCAAAGATGTTCCTCGATAAGCAGGAGCTGGCTCTCGCCCATCACCTTCATGTACACCAAAATATGAAGTCTCCAGTCGCAGCCTGACTGGAGAAGACCTTTGAATTCACGTCACCTCCAAACAGCTGCGAAACTTCTAGTATGGAGTCACCCATGGATAGCTACCTGGAGACCAGTACTCTCGATCTGGAAGACCTCCAACATCGAGCAGCTCCGACAACGTCGCTACGGTCTAGGACATCATCTTCACCACAGTCGCCAAGGCGCGGGTTGATGGTATGGACCGGACGTACCTGGAATGGAAAGACCAATTTTCTTCGTGGACCCGGACTGAAGGTGAGCGCTGGCGGTTACATCGAGCAACTCGAGAAGAATCTCCCCACATGTCGTCGCCCGTACCTTCTTGGAAACTGTACTGCTACAGCATTGGGTGCCACCACATGGAATCGAAGGGCGTTGGAAAAACTCTCGCCTACTTGGAATGGAAGGGCGTTGAGTACCTAAAGGAAGATGGAATATCCAAGTAGGTCACCTGACCTAAATCCCCTCAATTACCCGGTTCGGGCGGAGTTCAATAGGGTGGTCTACGGTGGCGGAGAAATCGACTATCTCGCTGATCTCAGGCACCACATCGCGTGCCTGCCAGACGCATGCCAGAATCTCTCGATGACGCTGGTCCAAAAGGCTGTGGCGGTGTGTCATGATAGTATTTAATATGCTCTTCAAGTGGTGGTGGAAATGTCCGATCAGAATTTAATAAAGTGTAACTTATAGCGCCTCGAAAGTCAAGGAAGAAAAGTGACTTTTTTATTGCCCCCCTGTACGTTGTTATTTGTTTCTTTTCGAGTGCGAGTGGTTTAATAGGGTTTTTTTTCCAGCAACAGTAAGGAGCCGCAGGTTCCTCCTCCAGACACATTCCGGTATACATTGAAGTTTCTGGAGGGCAACCCCTTCTATCCTGACTCAGATTCACTGCCCGAGAGTGATGCCTTCGATAATACGCTCATCCCTCACACATCCCTACAGTTAGTTTGAACCTTCATGTCTTCTCGTGGTGTGTAGAGATTTTTATGGCTTCTTTCGAAAAAGTTCACCGGAACACATGAACATTGTTCAGTTTCCATTGTCTGTGGTTGCAGTTTAGCTTTATGATCTTCCATTGTTGGGGAAAAATCCTTCAAAATGTGAAATTTACAGTTACATTGGTTTCAGTCGAGCTCGGAGTGTCGCCTCAAAACCGAAGTTGAAATTATATTTAAAGAATGCCTGCGTGGTACGCAATGAGAGGTACGACATCAAGGTGAGTTTGCGGTGCTTCTGAATTCTTTCTCGGTTGCTATTTCATTTTTCAAGGGTTCTTTGCTTGATTAGCTCAGTGCGCTCTTTACACTTGAGATCCCAACGAATTTAACACTCGCTCCACTCTGTTTGCCCCGTTCATAAAGTGCATTGTAGCGCGTAGCGAAAAGTGTTAATACTCGCTCTCGCTTATTGGCTCACCTAGAATAACGTGACATCTCAAGTCCTTTTATCTGACCTTATCATTGAGCATTCTGAACGCTGGGTAATTCTACGGTGAGGGCACATCCTGCCATTGGGGAAAATTTTGCATAATACGACCAACTCATTGAAAGATACTCTGGTACGATTCCTGTTCCGACTCCTTCCCCTACCTACTATGTTCCTAAATTTTCCCAGGTTCCGGCCACTTTTCCGAAATCTTTCGAGGATTTCAGAAGTCCGCCAGAAAAAAATTGCCGCTGAACTGTGGGGAAGGCGTATATGTAGCACACGCGAAATGGAATAGTCAGGATAGATCAACCACGGGAAACATTTTTCGCAAAAGCGACTACGTCCTCCGTCCCCCAGCGGGCAAGTACGACCTCCTGGCTGGGGTTCTTGCAAGGTACGACGTGCCCTACTTGCGGTACACTCTACATGTCCACAGCAAAAAATTATTTACCCGTGTGTTTGTAGCGATGTCTTTGTGATCTCATGTCTGTGGTGATTCTTGCCCTCCCGATATAGCTAGGGAGCATACTTCTCTAGTGGGTTCTGTAGTCGCCCACTGTGTTTACATGCCAGAAACTGCTTTATGAACCTACTGGTAGGAAGCTGAAGAGTGATTATGCGTTCTAGCATTCCTGGCGCCTTCCATTTTTCATTTTCATAGCCTATAATTAGTGTCCCACTCAATTTTTCTCAAATTTGACTGTCAAGGGAAAGATCAGTGGCTTTATTCAGGAAAAATTCATTAATGAGATTGATGCACTAACATGGAATTCAATATGTGGCGGTCCACTCCCATATTTTCCCCATACTCCAATGTTACAAAGAGGACGCCAGCCAAAATCGGCGACGACATCTTTAACAGCATCCTCAACGCGACACGATTCTCCCAGTATGGAAGGTAGAAGATGTTCTCTCAACTTTGGGGGTTTGTTGTCTATCACCTACGTTATAGGTACAAGCGAAACTCCAAAAAGAAGTTTGACGAAAGAGGGCAAATCTCAAGGTAGAAAATCCGACACGCCTCGTGGACTCACCGAGAAGAAGAAAAATCAGGTATTTTTTCGCGGTCGCAGTCATCGAACTGTCGAGAATCTGAAGAGCGGAATGTATTTGGCCGTTTTCAGATTGGGCAACAGCAAGAGGAGCTTGCTTCGTTATTCGAAAATGCTCGCAAGTTTGGAGTTGATTTGTCCAAATATGAGCAGAAGACACGGCTATTGAGTACGAGCGAAATCGCTGAGCTGAAACTTTTGGTCAAATCTTCAAGGACTCAGGTAGCTGGTCTCCTCCGAGCCTCGAATTCAGGTATACCATTGTTGTCGGCGGCTGATTTCCAGTTTCTAGGAGAGAGAGCTCGCCCGCGAGGCAAAGAGGATGAAAATGAAGGCGAAACATGAATGGCTAAAGAAACGGGATGATCTTGATTGTGACGATCTCAAGGTTGAGTCATTCCATTTGAATATGACTGACTCTATTGAGCAGGTTTTTTCACTGGAGAAGTAAGTGACATCTAATGATTATTATAGGCACTTCCTGTTTTTCCGGCCCTAACTCTCCCGCCTTGGTTGAGTGATGATGAACTCGCAGAGTACCTCGTGATTTTACAGTTTTTCACTGCGTTCCAGGTATTTACTGGTTCTCCACATAATTGAAAATGTCCTAGTGGCAGATCATGCTTATAGTACTTAATCTTCTGTCTAATTTCAGGAGCTTCTACCCATCAAGGAGGTCAGAGGTGAGTGGTTTCTTGTGTTGTGACTGTATCCATGTTAATTCATAGGTGATTCGTGCTTTCCTTTGCGGCTTCCATCTTTTTGCACTTCTGCTTTCTTGTTCGAAAGGCGGCTGTTCGAGTGCGTTCACACTTTGCGACAGCGTTTTGGCAGACTAGAAAATATGAGTGTCGATCCAGCGTTCGAGCTCTGCCAGCATTTTGAGCGTCCGCCAACGATAAGAGCGACTAAAAAAAATAGGTGTCAACTATCTCTGAGAACGTTGGCAGAAGCTCAAAACGCTGGTTGGCGCTCAAAACGCTGAACCGATACACATACTTTCCTAGTCGCTCTAAACGCTGGAAATAGATGCCGCAAAGTATGAACGCACTTTAACACTGCTTCCTTGTGTCTACTCTTGCCCATCAGCTGTGACACTTTATTGCCAGGAACGAATCGCGTGAGCTTGACAGATGTGATTATGGCTATACGTTGTGCAGACCCGCAGTATAGCACATATGCCGATCTAATGAAGATTTTGCTGTCTGCAAGAACAGATCGGGCCGATGAAGAAGATGGCGATGAAGGTGGCTTTACACTTCTGTTTTTTGTATTGCGCACACTTTTTAGGTATATTTTGGGCTGTGCAAAAACAAGCAAACCCGATGTGAAGCAAGCGAGTGTCTCAACTCCTTTACGGCTGAACGTTAAGATTACCTAATATTCTGCTGTCCCAAAGCCTGATGAGTATCTGAATGTTGTAAATAACACAGATAGGCTCCCAGAATATTTATTGTCCAAGAACACAAAAGACTCAAAATAAACTTGAAAAGTCTTGGCTTGTTTTTGGACAATTCGATGCTTGGCACCTAAGGAACCTGAAATAAAAAAAAAAAAAAAAAAAAAAAAAAAAAAAAAAAAAAAAAAAAAAAAAAAAAAAAAAAAAAAAAAAAAAAAAAAAAAAAAAAAAAAAAAAAAAAAAAAAATGAACGTGATATCAGTTACTAATTGACTAGACATTGAGTCAGCCCTCTTACCCCGGTCTGCCTTCTGTTGCGGTGTTGCTTGGCTGTCTGTCAGGAATTAGAAGCTAATGTTTGAGCTATTTCATGCCTACTTTTGTACCTATCTATGTGGGAAATGCACTAATTTTTCTTTTTCAGCTGACCTGTCTTCCAAAGATGAGATCGCTCTTATTCAACTACAGAATTGCGATCCTGACCACAAAATCCATGGAGAGAAAATTCGTGAGATGAATTTCTTACATGAGGAGATCCGGCTCACACACGGCAAGTTGTTTTGATATCAAGCACGTCCGTTACCTCTTCATGAGGTAATTGCAAAATTCGCTTATGTTCCATCCATGCTCAAGAATTTAACCATTTCTTTCCTTTGGTTTATGTGTGTACCGCTCTTGGAGACAGTTATTGTTTAGGACAGTCTATCCGACATATACCAGCCGACTGGATGACCTTGACAGAATCACTGCGATTAGTATTGCTCACCTCCGGCTACTACACCGGGCAAAGCACTCACCGACATCGCCTTTTCGCAAGAGGGAATTACAAGGGGTAATTATCGAGATTTTGCGTGAGCGTCTATTGATTTGGTCTCTTCCAAGATCTTTTTATTGTTTTAGGTATGAGGATGCTGGCTACGTGTATCGGCTGAATCACCCTGAAACAATGGAAAAGTTGCGAACGGTATGTTGTGTTATTATGCAGGGAGAGGGAAGGTAAACAAAGATGGCGTTAGCTCGTGAGGGCCGCTAAAGTTCACATTACACAGAGTGGGAAATTACATGAAAGACCCACGGTAGAATATTTCCAAGATGTTCACCCATAAGCAAGAACACCATTCTCTCTATCCTTTGAGAAAAATATGAACACAATGTGCTCAAGAATGCCTGCGGATGGTGGGGCGATTCACTGGGGCCAGGTTTGGCGCCGCGCCGGCCCATTTTCCACTAATCGTTGTCGTTTGACCACTTTATCAGTTGGTGGGGAGCGGTCTGGCGTCGCGTCAAATCTGACCCCTCTTACACGCCCCAGCATCCGCAGAGAACAAGACTGTGTTGGCGTTAGCCTGATGCAGCTTTATAATTTCCAAGGCTGGATCATTACGTGTAGGTCTCTGCCGTCGCTCGGGCAGTAAAAGACACCAACCGTGTAGCACTCTCTGGACAGCGGTGCTACAAAGCAGAACCTGTTTTTTGAAGCGACTGTACTAATGAACTTCTCGATTAGGGGGCCTGGGATGCTATGTTCTCGCTTGACCGGCTTCCAAAAAAGAGCAGATATAAATTGTCCAAGTGACCGATTATCCCATCCCCCGTACGAAATAAGTTTTTGGGGTTACTTTCTATGGGCGAAGCGTGTTGTTTGCCTTCCCGATGTGTATGTTTATTCTGCCAGCTGTGTAAGATGCCAAATTGATCTGATTGCAGAGCACCGTTTTTGATTTGACGCCAGTTGAGCGTTTAGAGCTGATGGAAGTCATCATATATCAGCTTTTGAGCTACAATAAGGTGACGATAGTTTTTGACAGTCCTTGGCCTTTTTCTGCTCGTTATCGACTTTCTGTTTAGTTCCGCAGTCGACAAGATGATCGTTTGTTCGAGCTTTGGGAGCAACGACGAGAGCTGAGGAAGTTGCGAAATTGGGACTTGACACAAGAACAGGTAGGAGCTCGGAAACTTTTCTTTCATTTAATCGGGAAATTTCCGCCATTATGTTGATAAAAGGCAACGCTGGGATGGATGCGCAGCAGTGGCAGCATTTTGCCACCGTTTTGGCTCCCAACTCATTTTGTGATGAGTCGCTCTCTACAGTATTTTCTTTGCAGATGCCAAGGCGTGTTAGTGAGGCTGGGTTTGGCAAGGCGTCAGCTTGTTTGCCACTGATTGTTGTCGCTTGCCCGCTTTAACAGTTGGAACAGAACGGGCTGGCGCTGCGCCAAACTAAGTTCCCTTGATACGTCCCACCACTGGCAGCGAACAAGACTGTAGTTGTCCACCTAAGTGAGGACAATGTTGTATTTCCATCTATAAATATATTCAGGAAGCCAAGGACGCTCGATTAGCCCGAGAGTACGAGATTGAACTCATTGAAGGACAAGGTCAGGATGTTGCAAAGGATCAAATCAAGGAGTGGCCAGCGCCTAGTGAAGACACATTGAAATTAAAGCAACACCTAAAGGCTGTTCAAGAGTCGCGACGCTTGGATCGTGATGAAATGGAGCAAGTTGGTGGTTTGAACTCTTGGTTTTTCCATACTGTTTCGGTATGCAATCTCTTATGACCTGGTCAGTCTGCTTCAGATGCTGCTTGCTGGCGTTGCGTACAACGAGCTCGATTATGGCGAGATTATTACAGCGCGAGATCTACAGCGTGAAAAAGTTCAAGTCGTTGAAATGAAGTTATTGGAATCGATATATAATCTCACAAGTGAGTTTACAAACAACGTCATGCAAACCTCTTTCGAAAGAAGCTGTTTGATCAATAACAGTCGTTGTAACCCTGTAAAACCTTTTCCTCATTCAGCAGTAGCAGGACAGCTCCACCTTGGACGTGACCGCGCTTTCCGAAACTATTTCCTGCTCGAGTGCGTACCGTGCCTCATTGTTGAAAATCCCGTTGAAGCTGACAATGTAGGAGTTTGCTGCGAAGCAACCCCCGTCGCGGATTCTGTAAGTGGATTCCTGTTCCCTGGTCTTTGAGCTGATACGGCTTATTCTGTTTTCTAATGTGCTGGTCAAAGTTGTTTTATTCGAAAGAGTGTTACGTGCTAATCGCAACTCAATTCAAGAGCGAGTACGGCAGTGAAGAAGCGAACCCGTCAGTTCGTGCTGGGCTGTTCGGGTAATATGAACACATGTTCTGTTCATGGTGAAGGGCGAAAACGAAGACCAAGATGGACGTTTGTGGATTCCCTGGAGAAGGTCGATAAGGTGGGCTTGAGTTTTGGAAAACTTTAAGCTAAACCACAGATGCCAAGGTTGACAACGTTGTTAGGTAGTGCTTCTTTACTATTCTACAAGGGCAGTGTCCTTCTAAAGGATTTCCGTATGAATGTGTCAGGTGAACTTTTCCAGATCGTGGCCGCCTGTAACCCTCGAGGTGTACGTGAAATTGATCTCGCTGAGGAAATCACATTTTTTCGTCCCCGTATTGCTGAAGTTATGGAGAAAGTGGTGAGGCTTTGGACGAGTTCTTTGAAAGAACTGTGGTTTGAATGGTCAAATTTCTGTAGTTCTTGCTCTAAGTAAAGATGCTTTTATGATAGCTTAGAGGAGATC